CTAGGCAGAATACTGAGGATTTTCCTCACTAGCTTGTTCCTAGGAATGGTTTCACCAAGTGAGTGTAACTTATTTATGATGGAAGTGAATCTTGTGTGCATATCTTGAATAGATTCATCATCCTTCATCCTGAAGAGTTCATACTCGGTAGTGAGCATATCGATCTTAGATTGTTTTACTTGGGTGGCTCCCTCATGAGCTGTTTGTAAAGCTTCTCATATCTCCTTGGCAGTGTCACAGGCGGAGATTCTATTGTATTCTTCAGGTCCTATTCCACATACCAGAATCTTCTTGTCACGAAAATTCTTCTCCACAGCTTTCCTGTCTGCATCGGTGTATTCTTTACTGGTTTTTGGCATTGGAAATGGAAGTTCTTCCACCACCTTTGTTGGAACATAAGGACCGTCACATATGACATCCCATAACTCAGAATCCTCAGCCATGATAAAATCATGCATTCTTGATTTCCACCACCCATAGTATTGTCCATTAAACCTGGGTGGTCGGTATGTAGATTGACCTTCTTCAAAATTTGGTGGAGCAGCCATAAGGATACTTCCTAGGTGTTAGCCTGATAGGAGGAACCCGCTCTGATACTAATTGTTAGTTTGTATGAGTCCACCAAATAGTAGAGTACCTGGTCCTCTATGAGGTTGTACTGAGAATTCTAATAAAATAGTAAGTAAATAAGACACGAGATTTTTACGTGGAAAAACCCCAACTCAAGGGGACAAAAATCACGACCTACACCTGTAGGCTTTCAACTTCACTAACTTATAAACACCTATTACAAGCCACTTTGTAATGACTTCATTACAAAGAATTCAACTCAACTAACTTGTGATACTCTTACCACAAGCCACTTTGTCACTCTCTAGTTACAAAGACTTTAACTTATGATTAAACCTAGTCACAACATAAATTCAGAGAGTTTACGGATTTTACAAAAGGGTTCCTAATCAATGCTTCTTGCTAAGTCACTTAGGAGATACAATAAGAACAATTACAAAGTTACAACACAACTAAGGACAACAAAATACTAGCTTTAGGAACTGGTCCGTAGTAGCGTTTAACTTTGTTCTTCAAGCTCGTGAGAATTAATTTCTCTATTTTGCAAAAGGCTTGAATGAGAAACTAAAGTGTTCAAGTGATGTTTTGATATAACTCATTATTGATACACCTTGATGACATCACTTGAAATGATGTAAGCACTTTAGTTGGTCAAGGAATAAGTGACCACTGGAAACAGTGCAGTGCAGGTAGAAATAGTGCAGCCAGTCACGTCGCTTCCAGCTGTGTCCCATTGACTTCATACTGCTATGAGGGAACCACAAGGGTATCAGGTCCTTATTTGGTTCTATATCCCCTGAAACTATAACAGTTCATATTTAGCTGGAATCCATTAACTTGCAGTGTAGCCCAAGTGTATCAGGATCCCCATCTGGTCCTCGACAAAGTTTGTTAGATCATCAAAACATAAGTCAAAGACATTGAAAACCTATCACACGGACTGCGCACGCAAATTGAGGAAGGATGAATAGAGCTATTCGAGGTCTCAAAATATAGAAATAAAGGCTAAAACTCAAAATAACCTATCGGGTCATCACAATTATAGTCCTACCTCGGCATGTGTAGCTTCTAGTATTTGTTCCTTTTTTATAAGGGCATCTCCAACCTTTACCCCCCAAAATGAGGACAACTTATTCCAACCATTCCCCCCCATGAGAATGTTCTTCTCTCTCTTCTATATTATATTATTATCTTTCATTTCAATTTTATTTTTTAATTTCTATTAAACAAATTTCATCTTTTATTTTTATTAATTTATAATTTTCATTAAAACAATTCCATAAAATTTTAAATAATATAATTTGTAAGAAATTATTATAGATTAACTAATACTTAAAATAAAAGTGAAATCATTGCGATACAAAATTCATTAAATAATCCAAAAATAAATTATTATCAGCACCTTCACGATCTCGATCACATGACTAGAAACAGAGCCAACTCTGATAGCATCACTATTTTGATCGTCCAAACACTGCAACACATAATTGTTCATCTGAAATGCTTGCATGCACGATTGCATGTGAGCTTCAAGGCCATGTGACTGTAATTCTTCTAAAGATGATGACGATGATGAAGAGTAATTTGAATCATAATTATTAGATGGACCTCCCGTATAGAAATTCATTTTTATTAGAAGACAAATAATAATTTTTAGTTACTTTTAATGTATTTTAATTTAATATATTTTTAATTTTAATGTATTTCAATTTTAGCAACATCTAATATTTTATATTTGCACATTTTATTTTTTGTGATGGTTATATCTTTTTCATACAATTATAACTCATAATGAAATTAACTACCAATTTTACATAAAAAAGTAGATGCACGATATTTAATTTTTCAAAATTATACGTCAAAGTTAATATGAAAAATTAATTAGATAAATATATTATATAAACATAATTAAGTATATATAAAAAAATAAATTAAACGATTAAATAATAAAAATAATAACATTTTAATAGGGAATAGTAAATGGGGAGATGAATAGTGCATTCCCAAATTTGGGGAGACACTATTCACTCCCCATTTTGGGGACAAAAATGGGGGAGGGTTGGAGTGAAATTTCCCATTTTGGGGATAAGGTTGGAGTTGCTCTTAGGGCATCTCCAACCTTTACCCCATTTTTGGTCTCCAAAATGGGAATTTTTCTATTTTTGGGACAACTTACTCCAACCATTCCCCCATTTTTCCCCCAAACTTTTTTATATTCTTCTCTCTCTTCTATATTATATTATTATCTTTCATTTCAATTTTATTTTTTGATTTCCATTAAACAAATTCCATCTTTTATATTTATTAATTTGTAATTTCCATTAAAACAATTCCATAAAATTTTAAATAATATAATTTGTAAGCAATTATTATAGATTAATTAATAATTCAAATAAAAGTGAAATCATTGCGATACAAGATTAATTAAATACATATTACATAACGATAAAATTCATTCGAAATATTACATAAATATTCAACTTCAACCTCTAGTATTCTCCCATAAATGATCTATTAATGCATTACAAAGTGCAAAATGAGCATCTTTGTCCTTAATTCTTCTATGTCGAGCTAAAAAATTCTTGAAATCGTTGATTTACATCTACTATCATTTCTAGTGTTGGAGTTGGACTTTTCAATTTTAGCAACATCTAATATTTTATATTCGCACCTTTCAATTTTAGCAACATTTAATATTTTATATTTGCACCATTCCTTTTTTGAGATAATTATATATTTTTTGTACAATTATAACTTATAATAAAATTAACTTACAATTTTACATAAAAATAATAAATGCACGAAAATTAATTTATCAAAATTATACAACAAAGTTAAGATGTAAAATTAATATTATAAAGACATTACATAAACATAATTAGGTATATATAAAGAGATAAATTAAAAAATTAAATAATAATAAAAAAGTGATGAATAGTAATGGGGGAGATGAATAGTGTACCCCATATTTGAGGGAACACTATTTATTCTCTATTTTAGGGACAAAAATGGGGAGGGTTGGAGCTAAATTACCCCAAAAATTGCCCCTATAGGGAATGAGGTAAAGTTGGAAATGACCTTAATACTTTCTCAGTTGACTAAGCACGCTCCGAAAATTATTTAATCACATTTAGCAGCTTTGGCAATAAATCATTATCTATAAATTAGGCTCAATAGCCATATACATTATCTTTTGTATCATGGTCAATTTTATTTTATCATTTGAAAGTCAGTCATAATTATGGTCATGAAAAACTTTATCATCATAACCAATTTCATCTGAAAGCTTGTAGCACTTGTAACATTCTTAACATGTGAAATAAAGCATATAAAACTATATCATTGGAAGAAAAACATAAATAATATATAACTACTTGTCATTCATAATTAAACACTAACAATTGAAAATTACTTAGTCATGAAGACATACTTAAGAGATATGGAGTTTGGTAGAAACAATTTTTTTGAAAGGCAGTTTAGCTCAATATCGTTTCCTTTGTTTCACTTGTGATACACATTTTTCTTTTAGTCATCTTTTACACAATTTGCCTGATTAATCATAGAAAATTACGAGACTTTATATACATGATGACACATATACGAGTTTTTTTCAATCTCTTCCTTATATGTGATAACTACTTCAAATACACGTGAATATGTTTGACAAATATACGAGTTTCTTTCAATTCGTTGTTTAATAAATGTTAAATTTAAAATCCACACACGTGTGATATGTTAATGGTGATAATTTTCTAACCGTCATATTATGTTTATCTTTATTTTTTTTTTGTGTGAAATTCGAAACTAAAAATATAAGTACAATTTTTAAAAAATTACAATTTGATGTTTTCATTTTTCCATTTTTTTTAAAAATACTATACCAAAACTCAACAAAATCAAACTCATTTGATTCATCTTTCTCTTTTTGTTTCGATTTTATTTGATTCAACTTATTAGATTTCGTTATCCTAATTCAATTTTTATCAAATTATAAACATCCCTTTCTAATGGATGCATTTGTTAAATACTTTAGGAGAGTTTTGTACCCTAGAGGTAGAACGACCTCTCTATGTAATATTTACTTCATATATCTCATCTAGTATGATATACTTTCCTTTTTTGCTTGTTAAAAAAATATATTTATATTGAAAAATAATTTAATCTTAAACTTTATATTTATATTATTAATAAAAGAGTTTATAATCACAAAAATATATATAAAATATTTCTTATCATAAATTTAAAAGTTCCCTTTCTTTCTTAAACTTTATGTTTAGTAAAAAACCATCACATAGATTGGGGATGAAAGAGTAGTAGTTTTAAGTTTTAACAATTTCCCTTTTAAGTTTTTTTTTTTGGTTAAATTTGTTTTTCCCATACATCGGCCTTTTCTCCTCTGTCTGACTGTATATATCCATTTCTTCTTTTTCCACAAATAACCTGAACCCGATTCTCAACCCAAAGTCAAGTTCCCCTTCACTTCTACTGTCTGTACGCACTATTCGAAGAAGCTTCCAATGGCGGAGGCATCCGAAGAAGCCATCATCGTGAAGCTTTATGAATACGGCGAACGCCTCAACGAGTCCAAAGACAAGTCTCAGGCCCGTAAAAATATCCAATATGTATTCATTGTTCACTTTCCTTTATACTAGGGTTCGAAATTGAATAAATTTATTTTGATTGAAACTGTTGGATTGTTCTTTTGGTGTAGAATGTGGAGGACTATGAGAATATAATTAAAGCATCGAAGAGCAGCAATGCTAAAGCTATGCAATTAGCAGCTCAGCTAATTCCGAGATTTTTCAAGCACTTTCCTAGTTTATCAGGCCGTGCTGTTTACGCTCAGCTGGATTTCTGTGAATCTGAAGAGCTTGCGGTAAGTCTTTTTGTATTTTCTTTTTTATTGAAAAGATAAAATTGAACAATTTCTCCATTTGTGTGTGTCATCCGAGTTATTATGTTAATATTCTCTACTTCATTTCGAATTCCTGAGATTGTTTCTTTTACTTATGATTATGAAATAACGATAAGGTTTCTTTATTGTTCTTCCTGTGTGAAAGATGTACTTTGTGAAAGATGTATAAGTTTTTTCCCGAATAATGTTAAGACGTTATAATTATGATTACTTCCTCTGTCCCAAATTTAAGTGATGTATACTTTTCTATATTTAGAAATAATTTCATTTTAAACTTCCCATTGATTTATATCCACACAAATATTTATATCTTGTTTTAGACCACAAGTTTCAAATTTCTTTATTAAACTATGTGCCCAATTAGAGTGCATCACAACTGCTGAGATACAAGAATGTATGCAAGAGATGGGAATCATCTCGTAGTTTTAAACTGAGATTATGTGTAGCAGGTTCATCTATTCATTGTGTGTTTTTGATGCTGAATTTGTGAGGGACTAGCTTAGGTAGCAAGTAGCTACTAGGATTGACTTAAGAAAATCTTCATATTGCTGGAGGTGGATGAGGAAAAGTTACTCCGTCTATTTCAATTTATGTGTCTTACTTTCCATTTTAGTTTGTTTAGAAAAGAATGTCACTTTGTAAATTCAGTGACTAACTCTTTAGTTCCAACATTCTAAATGGCCTGTAGTCCATAAGGTTCAATGGGCATTTTAGTACATTACACACATCTTTAATATAAGACCACAAGATTTAACAGTCTCCCTTGCTTTCGTGAAATCCATGCTCAGTCAAAGTAAGACTTTATTATTACTTTTTTGAGAAAAGGTAAGCATCCTTTTAGCTTTGCAGAACATTTTATCTATGTTGTTGACAACATCAATTTTAATCCACCAATACAAAAGACCAAGACATAAGCCTTTTTAATTGCTGAGTTGTCAATTTGTCATTCTTCTATCGTAAAACATCTATTGTTTCTCTCTTTCCATACCACCCAATTGCCATAGAGCTTTATGGTCTCCTGAACAGCTAGTCCCTTCCAGCTTCACAAAGCAAGTTTCAAATAACCTGGTATCATGCCACCGGAAATTAAACAAGTTTAGGCATAGCAGATTCTGCTCCACACATGTAGCATCTATTATATAATGAGAAACCCCTATTTATCAACTCCTCCTGAGCAAGAGAAGCCTCATTAACAGCAGACCAACAAGAACGGCTACTCTAGGAGGCACTTTCATGTTCCATATCAAAATCAATTAGATTAAACTGAAATATGCTTATTGTAATTTTCTTTCTTTCGTTTTTAGTTGGCCATTTCAGTAAACATTGTCCCCCCAACAAACAAAGATTTGTGTATCCAATTGCATCATAGAATTGGGTTCATGAACCACAGGAATTTGAAACTCAATTTTTGCTGTATTTTGGGAGTAGCAATGCCTGATTGAACTTTAGAAGTAAAGATATTAGTTTGCCGGCTCAATAATATGAAAAACAGTAGGGAGAAAATTAAATCACAACACTGTAGTAATTGCATTCAAAGCCATCACATGAGTATATTTTTATGATGCAAGTTTATTGTCGTGTCCTTTCGCTTTTATCTTGATTTTTGTGCATAATTGAAAAGATGAGGAAATATGATTTAGACTCTGGTAAATAAATTTAGCCCGTAAAAAGCATGTCTTTGTTGTTCAAGAGAAATAACAAGGGAGAGGAAATCATTGCCTTTTTTATTTCTTTACAACAACAATAACAACCCAGTATAATCCCACAAATGGGGTTTGAGAAGAGTAGTGTGTACGCAGACCTTACCCCTACCCTGGGGATAAAAAGACTGTTTTCAATAGACCCTCGGCTCAAGAAGATACCTATATTTTCTGTACCCAAGTTCCAATTAATTCTTGTATCTGGATTATTGGTGTATAAATACTTATATTTTCTGCACTCAAAGGTGTGGCCTAGTGGTCAATGACGTGGGTGCAAACCTTGGAGATCAGGTTCAAATCCCAACAGAGTCATCTGGCTAAGTTTTGGTGGGCATACTTGCTCAATAACTGTGTTGGTGGAGGTAACATGTACCTAGTGCCTACAAATACATCAAACTCTTTAGATGCTCCCAGGCACGAGTCCCGAGGTGAGAGCCTAAAAACTCTCCCCAGTATCGTTTCTCTCCCTTTTCGATGATCTTTCCTTTGGTTACTTAGTTTTCTTTATTAATTATGTCTTGGTGATTTTCTCAAAAACTTCATCTTCTTTTTCTCTTTTTTCCTAAATTATGGTTAATAGAATATATTTTATTATTGGTGAGAAGTCTTTTGACATTACTGAAGTAAAAAATGGTGCAGAGTTTGGTACGAATGGGTGGAACGCAATAAGAATTTCATGAGGAAAATGACTCTCAGTCGAAATGTCATGCTGTGGGTGTGTGGTCTTCTTCATACAACATCTGATCGAAAGGGGAATGAACTCAGAAGGTGGAAATCCAGAGACCATGTCTACAATTTCTTCTGTACAAAGAAATACAATGATTTTGGCAGATATATAAGCATTGTAGCAGTATAGGGGGAACGCAGAGCTATCATAATCCTTCCAGAAGCAGCAACATTCAATGTGGGATGGAGAGATGTTGCTTTAAAGATAGAGAAGTTCATAAATAAGGTGGCTCCAGCTGTGAAAAGCTTTGTCAAACCAATTGTGAATTTTTTTTTCAAACCAACAGAGGAGCACTTTTATATGGAAGCATTCAAAATCGATAAGTGGGAGGCAAAAGGAACCTCGACGTCGTCTGCACAAACCCCTTTTGGTCAACGAGTTACTGTTCAAGGACCTGAAATTTCTGATAAGGATTTACTAAGTAGATGTTTGGTTGGCAGCTTCAGTGATACGAAGGAATTGCCCACTCTCTCCGACATCAGGAGATGGATCACTAACAAATGGAGCAATATCCATGGCATACAGATATACGAAATGCATGGCTCAAAATTCTTGTTCGAGTTTTCGTCAAGAAAAATGGCAGAGCATATCAAAATGGGGGAATGGAGATGGACGAACAAACTGTTGATGCTTGAATGATGGTCGCCTACAGTAGGCTGCTACCCGGCTGACGCAAAGCTGGACTGGGTTTGGATGAGATTACTAGGGATTCCTCTTCATCTTTGGTCCCAAAAAATCTTCAAGCTAATTGGGGATAAATGTGGGGGATGGATTGAAACATAGGAGGAAACTTCTCTCAGGAATCATTTAAAATGGGCTCGAATCAAAGTGAAGGGCCCACTCGACAAAATCCCTAGAGTCATAGAGGTGGAGAAAAATGGTATAATTTTCTCTGTGCCGATCTGGTGTGAATCGCCGGCGACCTGGTGCAGTGCTGATAGTACATCAGAGAAATTTGAAATTTCTAAAGGTCCTAACCCTAGAAATACAGCTATGGGTCTGGAAAGTAAGAGGCACATGGCTCAAGAGTCATGTGACATTGAAGTGGGGCCTTCTTTTAAAAAAAGGTTCACATGCTATTGCTGAATCATCTAATGGGCCTAGTAAAATTCAAAGTCCCCCTATTTCTTTCACTAAGCCCATCCCCACTTTTACTAAAAGCCCAGATCTGGGAATAAAAAATAGATTCTCCGTTCTCTACCCATGGGACAAACCCGACCCAATGTTGGAAAAACTCTTTGCAATTCATAACTCAATGGACATCGTTGTATCAGAAGATCCATCTGAAACAGAAGACCCACCACGTCTCTTAGATGCAACAGAGAATTTGGCTTTGCATGGTGGATTCGAAGAAGAAGGTCAAGCTTTAGGGGTTGGCGAAATCATTCCCTTGTCTCCTCTACCCAAGAATTCCCTACAATTGTCAGAATATGAAGATCAAGAGGCATGGTCTGTTGATGAAGCAGAACCCTTGAACTTTCAATTTCTAGAGGCGGAGATAGAAGCTTCCTTATGGGTGCACAAAAATGTTTTGAAGATGAGCAAAGCATACGGAGTGAACTTTCAGGGGTGCGAGGGAGAAGCTCTGTCCCTCTTCATGAAAATCGATAAGCGCAGATTAGAGATAAGAGAAGAAGCTGCTTTAAAGATAGTGTCGACTCCAAAAAAGAACAAGGGGAGCATGGAAGTTCAGAATCTGGTGTTCAACATGAACTTCCTAGATTCCAGTTCAAGAAGCAGGGGGAAATCTACCATCAATTGTTATCAATGCAGGTAAAAATTATTTCTTGGAACGTGAGGGGATTGAACAGAAGGGATAAAAGATCTATTGTCAAGTCTCTATTTGAGAACTGGAAGGCGGATATCTATTGCTTACAAGAATCGAAATTGGAAGGAGATGTGCAGAGTTTTGTGAAACAAATTTGGGGGTTCAGATGGGTCAAATTTGGCTGTCTGGAAGCTAATGGCAGTAGAGGGGGTATCTTGGTTCTTTGGAACAGTAGATCCTGGAAAGGGGAGGTGATTAATGAAGGTAGCTATTCTATCACTGTTAAGTTTGATGCTCAGGGCTATAATTTCTCTTGGCACTTGATTGGAGTTTACGCTCCGCATTGTAGACTTGAAAGAAGGAATGTTTGGTGGGAAGCTGCTGCTTCCAGGGGATCTTTCGATGGACTTTGTTTGAGGAGATTTCAATGTCACTAGGTTTATGGAGGAAAGAAGGGACAACAACATCATATCAAGAGCCATGACTGAGTTCTCCAATTTCATTGAGGACCTTGAGCTCTACGACCCTCTGCTTTTAGGGGGAGTGTTTACATGGACCAGGAGCAACAATTCTCATATTGCTTCTAGATTGGACAAATTTTTGTTCTCCTCTGATTGGGATGAGAGCTTTAGGAACATAAGGCAATCAGTGCTTGCCAAACCTGTCTCTGACCACACCCCCATTTTGCTTAATTGCGGTGTCTGGAAGACCTCTAAATCTTATTTCAAGTTTCAGAATTGGTGGTTGGGAGTCGAGGGCTTTAAGGACATGGTTGCGTTGTGGTGGTCTTCCTTCAATGTCCAGGGGAGGCCCGACTTTATTCTCGCTCAGAAACTCAAGCTTTTAAAAGGCAAATTACGAGATTGGAGCTTAACTCAAGGAGGAAACATGCCAGCTATGAAATCTGATTGTCTTAATAATATCCTGGTACTACAAATTGCCCAGGAGACTGGGGACCTTACTGAAGATGAACTGTTACAGATGGCAAGCCTTACTATGGACCTAGAAGAAATTGCAAAGAATGAAGAGTTATCCTGGAGGCACAAATCAAGAGTACAATAGTTGAAACAAGGGGACAGAAACACAAAGTTCTTCCATAAGGTGGCAAATGCTAATAGAAGGTTCAGTGCAATCGATAGACTCACCATTAATGGGGTTCAAGTTGAGGATTTAACTGCAATCAAAAGTGAGATCCTTGATTTTTACCTGCATCTGTATAGCGAGTCCGAATTATGGAGGCCTGAGTTCAAGTATAGTTAATCCCCTCAACTAAATAACTTAGAAGTGGAGTGGCTAGAGCAGGATTTTGATGAGCAAGAAATTTTGGATGGGCTTAAAGCATTTACAGCTGACAAAGCTGCTGGACCTGACGGATACACCATGGGTTTCTTCTTACACTGTTGGGATGTCCTAAAAGAAGATCTGGTGAATACTTTTCAGAATTTTCACTCACAAGAATATTTTGAGAAAAGTTTCAATGCTACCTATATAGCTTTGATTCCTAAGAAGGTTGGTGCAGCTGAGTTGAAGGATTTTAGACCTATTAGTCTGATTGGCAGTGTCTACAAGATCATTTCTAAGGTGCTGACTGAAAGACTGAAGAAGGTGGTCTATAAACTTATGGACTCTCAACAGATGGCCTTCATCAAAGGCAGACAAATCATGGATGCAGCTTTAATGGCTAATGAATGTGTTGACTCCAGAATTAGGGGGAAAGATCCAGGGGGTGCTGTGCAAACTTGATATTGAAAAAGCTTTTGATCATGTCAACTGGAATTACCTTATCAAGCTTTTGAAAGATATGGGTTTCGGTTGCAAATGGATTGTGGATTCACTTCTGCATTAGTAATGTTAGATTCTCCATTCTTGTGAATGGCACTCCAGAGGGGTTCTTTCCATCTCAAAGAGGATTAAGGCAAGGAGACCCACTCTCACCTTTTGTCTTCATTATTGCCATGGAAGGTTTGAATAGCATGATCAAGAAAGCCAATCTTGAAGGTTGGCTGAGAGGCTTCAGGGTGCTCAACAATGACACAAGTAATCTGGAAATTACTCACTTACTATATGCTGATGATTCATTGGTTTTCTGTGATGCCAAAGTAGAGCAAATTACACACTTGAGGTTGATTCTAACTGTGTTTGAAGTTGTGTCAGGTTTACATGTAAACTGGAGAAAATCCCATTTGTTCATTGTGAACAAGGTTCCAAACATTCAAAGACTAGCAGGCTCTTTGGGCTGTGAGGTGGAGACTCTGCCTACTACATATCTGGGGTTACCTCTAGGGGCTAAAAATAAGTCTCAACAGATATGGAATGGAATTGTTGAAAGATGTGAAAAGAAACTATCTAATTGGAAAAGCAATTACTTGTCCCTGGGCGGTAGGGTTGTCCTGGTTAATAGTGTTCTAGATGCTCTTCCCACCTACATGATGTCTCTCTTTCCCATGCCAGTCAAGGTTGAGAAGAGAATCGACGCTCTGAGGAGGAACTTCATTTGGCAAGGAAGCAAGGAGAAGAAAAGTTACCACTTGGTCAAGTGGGAAGCTCTCACAGGCAGCAAGAAGAAAGGGGGCTTGGGTATTAGAAACCTAAGGTAACATAACAAGAGTCTTTTAGTGAAGTGGTTGTGGAGATTCCCTCTGGAAGACCAAGCCCTATGGAGGAATGTGATCAATGAAAAATATGGGACTGTGGGGCAGTGGTGCACAAGTTCTGTTACCAGCCCATATGGAGTGAGTGTTTGGAAATCAATAAGAGCCCTATGGCAAGATTTTTCTTCCAACATCAGCTTCAAAACTGGGAATGGTATGAAGATCTCCTTTTGGAATGATGATTGGATAGGAAATGGTCCCCTCAAGGAGAGTTTTCCAGATATTTTCAGCTTAAGATATTTTCAGCTTAGCACAACAAACTGATGCAACTCTAGCTGAAACTTGGAGCCTACAAGGTTGGAACCTAACCTTTAGAAGATTTCTCAATGACTGGGAAGTGAGTAGAGTGACTGATTTCTTCAGTCTTCTACAGAACTTCAGGGGAACTACTGAACAAGAAGACAAGCTGGTGTGGGTCGGAAGCAACAATGGCATCTTTACAGTAAATTCAACATACAAGATTTTAAATAGATGTGACCAGAGCTACTGCCTCTGGCATTGGAAACATATTTGGAAGGCAAAAGTCCCCCCTAAAGGTGACAATTTTTTGCTGGTTAGTAGTCAAACAGGCTGTTCTAACTCATGAAAATTTGATGAAGAGAGCAATACAACTATGCTCAAGATGTTTTTTGTGCGGCAATGAGAATGAGACAATCACTCATTTGTTCATTCACTGCCAGGTGACTAGCAGATTGTGGCAGTTGTTCATGAGCATGAAAAGCCTAAGCTGGACAATGCCTAGGAGAACTGATGAGATGATGGCAAGTTGGAATGGCCACGGGATAATCACATGCCAAAAGAAGTGGTGGAACATTGTCCCAGCATGTATTTGGTGGACCATTTGGAAGGAAAGAAACTCTAAATGTTTTGAAGATGTGGCAAGCCACGAACAAAGGATTAAGATGAATTGTATATTTTTGTTTTATTTTTGGTGTAAAGAAGCACTTGTACAAGATGTAGAATCTCTAGTAGATCTCATAGGCTCCTTGTAGTTGTTACAAGATTGGTTTTTGTCTATTTTGGGTCTTGTAACCTGTTATTCCTTAGCACAATCTTTGTGCTAGGGACTAATTTTATCAATATATTGGAATCTGTTACCTTTTAAAAAAAAAAAAAACATGTACCTAGTGCCTAGTGGAATAGTCGAGGTGAGCGCGAGCTGGCCTGAACACCACCATTATAAATTTTTAAAAAAACCTGAAGTTTCTCCTTGATCTTAATAATTTCATTTTTAGGGTAGAAAATGGGAAGGTAATGAGGAAAAGATTGTGATGAGATTGACCTTTGAGTTGATTCTGTCTGTTACCTATTCTCCTTTCTAGATTTTCTATGTTTCTTGATTACATGCAAGACCTTGGTTTCATTTGTAATTATTATATTTCTTTCTAGGTTTCAATCTTCTTCAGTTTCTTTCCGGTTTTGCTTTCAATTTCGCTTTACTGCTTTTTGACATGTTTAAAATATTCAATGAGTTTGGAATTCCTAGAAATGTTTGTCGTCGCATGATTTAAGTTTCTTTCCACAGCTAAAGGATTAGAAGAAAAAAAAGGTTTCTCTTCACAGTGTTTGCAGCATAAAATGAGACTAGAATTCTGTGGGGTTGATGTTTCTGGAGTGGAGCCTTGACCTTTGTTTGACCTATTACTGCGTGCAGGTTCGAGTGCAAGCCATTCGTGGACTTCCTCTTTTTTGCAAGGACACACCCGAGCATCTTTCGAAAATTGTTGATATACTTGTACAACTCCTGACTGCTGGTATAGAAATCTCTTAGTCTTTCCATCAAGAATTGTTGATTATGAGAAAAAAGATGTGATCTTGACTTCTCTATCTTTCTATTCTTCCAGAGGAAAATGTGGAACGTGATGCAGTAAACAAAGCCCTTTTGTCCTTGTTAAGGCAAGATGTAAAAGGTATGTTGATTTTTTCCTAGTGACTTTGAAACCATGCACGTAGGTACTATCTTTAGATAGGTTCATCTTAAATTGAGTTTAAGATTAAATCGCCGAGCTGATCAAACTGCTTTAGTTTTTTTTGCTTTATGCTATTTCATGTTTCCGAGTACCACTCTTTTAGCACAAAGGTAGAACAATCAATACATTAAAGCCTGGTCAAGACCAAATGATGCCACAAAATAATGGATGTTGTATTTGGTATCCCTGATTCTTGTATAGTGCCTTGTTGGTATATAAGCTATAGGCATATTATCTTCAACTTACCCAATAAAATGCTAAAACCTTCAGAGTTTGTTGTGGGAAGAAAATGAACCTTGAGCTTAGCTCTACACTGAACGCTATCTTATGAGTTCAGGATTATCTAAAACCATATTAGGAGACAAACAACGAACTCCTCAACATCCTAAACGTCCTAAACACCCCTGCAAGCCCATGGTTAGACATCTTAACATGGGGGCCCAACATTGTCTAAACAGATTGAATCTGGCTCTGATACCATTTGAAGAAAATGATTGGACCTAATCCAACCCCAAAAGTTTGTTCACGAGGTGAGATTGCCATAGACCATATAAGAAGACAAACAAACCATCTCTCAACCAATGTGGTCACTTAACATGTTGCATTAGATGCATTTTATAAATCAACAAAGTTATTGCACATTATATTTTGCACTAGATGCACCTTAAGCAAGCATGCTCTTGCTCTTTGGGTCAATACCTGGGAAGCTGTATACCATTGTTGCAGCTTGTTATATGCCTTGATTGGGCTACTAGTGCGAGGGTTTTACAGCCATAGGTGTACAAATATTTATACTTCAGTATGACACTGCTGAAGCCGGAAGATGTGGTGTACATTTTGCTTTCCAGAAGGAGGACGAGAAGATGCCTGCGTGGGATGTACTTATGTGATATTTTGAGAGAGAGGAATAAAAGAGGGATGAAGGACTAGAGAACAAATTGGGAGCTGGATAGTTTTTGTCAGTTACTTCAACAATTAAATTTATGCTCAGTGGATCAGAACAAAGTAGATTGGTTAATTTGGTTTAACAACAATGACAAATTGTTCACAGTGAATAACTGCTATAAAATGATGTTACAGCAAAATAGTCAGGGAATTCCAAACTGGGCTTGGAAGATGATTTGGAGAACTAAAGTACCTGTGAAAGCAGCCTTTTTGGGTTGGTTAGCAGCTATAGATGCTTGTCTAACCCAAAATAAGTTGCAGAGAAGAGGCTTCTCCTTGAGCAGTAGATGTTATCTTAGTAATGCAGAGGAGGAGACAGTGGAGCACCTTTTCTTACACTGCAGAGTCTCAAGACAATGCTGGGAACATTTTCTAAGGTAATACGACAGAAGATCTGTAACTTGTTGGAAATCTGGCAATGACAAGGAGTCAAGAGAAGTTTAAAGCAAATATGGAGGACCATTCCAATTTGTATTCTATGGACCATATGGTTGGAAAGGAACAAGGCCTCTTTGAGGGAAAGAGGCTACAGATTCCCAGAGTTAAAAACGAATGCATTAAAAAGTTGTACTTCTGGTGTTATAGTAGTAATATAGATAGGATGGATCAGTATTTGGAGTTTTTGCACTTCTTAGGGGACAATATGTAGTATGAACTAAGCAAGAGCTGCAGCTATCTTGTACTTTACTTCTGTTCCATCTTGGTACCAATTTTAATAATATCTTTACTTATCAAATAAAAAAAACGAATTTTTTCCTTGCCATTATTAAGAAAAGGGCTGGAAATGAATTTGTACCACAGAGGGCTTGTCTTTTGTTTTAAGTGAATCTCGGTGCACCCACGAGGTCCCTGTTAGTGTGGAATGATTGGATGTCTAAGTCGTACATTTTCTTATGCTACCACTTCCATATTGGGAATTCCCCCCAACACCAATAAAATTGTTACTTTATTAAAAAATATGAGACTGTCTCTAGTTGGGATCATTTGTAAAAGCAGATGGGTTAAAGATCCTGTTTGAATGCTAAGGATACCAACATTTTCAAACACAAAAACTAAAAAAGAAGCATTGAATTTTTTTGGAAGTTTTAGCACAAAGCGAAAATAAAGCACATGCTTTAAGAAAGAAAGGCGCAAACGAAGTGATAAAAAAATACATGTAATCCATAACAAATAATAAGAAAGGTAAAGATTATTAATGAGTACCAAGAAGGTACCGAAATAGTACGACCGAGAAGAAATTTTCCAGGAAGACAAAAGGTTTGGCCTAATACAGGAACATTGACAGTAAACACACAACAATTATTTGGGCGAAAATTGAAAAACCAAAATTTTTGGTGAAATTTGTGTAGTGCTGCCTTCTTCAAAACATTGCCCATGGGTAACGAGACGTAAGCCTTAGTGGCTTGGTGCCTGAACTAATCACTGTCTAAGTGAGGCAAAGTGCTCTACCTGTGTTGCACCTAGCTTCAGGGCTTAAGCTCACTTCAAACGAGCCTTTGATAGCACCATAGGGTATTATGCAGGTTTTTTGCTCTCTATTTAGCATTATCTTATCTCCAAAATTTGTCTAGTCAAAAAAGGGGAAAACAAGAAAACTAAGAATCATCTTTTATGAATTTAAAAGGCAAGGCATGGATTTCATGATATGTTTGTGTGAGCTGTTGTAATATTGCTTAGATGAGAGTTATTGTTTAGCCAATGCTACAACTCTAATTCTAGTTACCGTGGTGTGTTCCTTAATTAGACAAATGTGGTATTGGAAACTTCTCTTATCAATTTATTTCTACCAGTCTGTAACTTATATCTTCATGAAAATATTTGGACACTGGATGCGAACTTTTTGACTGGTTATTTCTCTCTTCTGAAGCAGAAAGAAGAAAACCCAAAGTAAAAGAAGAAATTAACCACAATCAAGCCAAAAAAAATCTAAAAAACACATACATACTACGCGCGCGCTCGCACACACATATATATATCATGAATGCTTATCTTTCATGAGTTTGCGGATCGCTTCCAATTGTGCATTAGGAGATAAATTACAGGAACCCCTCAACATTAGGGGTGTGCATTCAATTTATCGATTCGATTTTGACCCTTATCGATAATTACTTATCGACTATTGATTTGTATATATGCTTATCGTTATCGTTTCAATAAGGTTTCAATTTTTTCGATTTCGATTTATCGATTTTTGGGGCTTATCGATTACACCAATAAGAAAATTTGTGGGATTTCACGACTTACTTACGATGCATCATTTGATCTTACAACTGCCTCGTGCTGATAATTCCGGGATTTTGGATTGATGAAGTCAAGAATTGCTTAAAGCCATTCTTGAATCGATGAAAGGGGAGCAAGCATCATCCAAGGAACGATGTCATACTTCATGACAAAATGTATGAAGTAACGAGCCCAATTTTCACGCTTGAGGGCATGAGACCATATTCTGTCACCAACAAGAGGGGATCCAAAAGTTATACAGTATGGATAAACCAGGTTTTCATTTGGTCTTGTGCAACAATGTTCGAGACACCATCTGCCAAAATCGCAATAGGGCCACCCGACGAGTGCCCTGCAAACACTATCTGTTTTCCATCTGACATCGCCTTCTCCACCTAAAACGAATAGTTCCCATGAATCAACATTCAGTTTCCAAATTAAAGATTAACCTATGAAGGTTAATCTTTGTTAGTCTAAAGAGGAATCATCTTGAAGGATATTTGATAGGAATCAGTGTTTTAATTTGACTTGGGAACATATTCTTGGACATGAAGATATTTGATTGGGATTCCACGGAAAGTATATTAGGGACTTAGGGTAAAGGAAAGGGTATTATAGAATAAGGGTATATTTGTCTTTTTAGTATATCGATAAACCGATAACCGAAGAGGATAAAATCGAAATCGAAATCGATAATTCGATAAGGAAAATTTCAAAATCGAAATTGAAATCGATAAATCAATAAACCGATATCGATAAACCGATAACAAATAATCGATTCGATTTATCGATAAACCGATTCGAATGCACACCCCTACTCAACATGGACCGGATCGCTTCCAATGTACATTAGGAGATAAATTACAGGAACTCCAGTCCTGGCCTAGTTATCATTTTGATAGTAAACCTTAAACCACGGTCCTTTTCACAACCCTTTCATGCTTATCCAAATTTTAACGGGCTAACCGAGGACCACCGGTTAAGTTGCCTTAACCAAGGTTTATTAACAAAACTAATAACTGCCTGGGCTATATAGTTCCAACCTTCAGCACCATCGGGGTGACTCAGTTGTAGCTTAATAGCAAAGCATGTTTTTTTTTTGATTTGCACCGGGTGTCCGAGTCTCTAATAGCAAAGCATGTTTTATAGATAGCCTATAGATACTAAGTTTAACACTTAAGTTTTTAGCTTACCATTTAGGCTAAACAGTAAAAAGAATAAGTATATCAATAAACAAATTAAAATTTAATACCTGAGACCGTCGGGTTTTTGGCCAAGTGACCTTTTTTGATTTTTTCATTTAGAAGATTTACAATAGTAGAGAGAAGTTAGAGAGAAGGCAGAGCGTTGGCTAATGCCTGCCTCTCAAAAGAAATGAGGATCCTTATATAATGGATCTCTGTCAAAAACAAACAAAATTTAATAGTAAAATGGCCGACAAAATAATTACATTATGGCCGACAGGATAAAAAGAAAATTCTGTATTATTATAACCGGACAAACTACTTATAAAAGTAGATTCCCTTCAATAATGGAGGGGTTCGTTACTTTATTAAAGTTGTCTTCATTACCCCAATAATTTATCTTATGGGGCCTGCATGTCTTGGCTTTTTCTTTGTTGTCTTTTTTCGCATAAGATTCTTCTGCATTCTCCTTCAATTTTGCAAGGAATTCTTCAATTTCATCAATATTAACATCTGTGCTTGGACTGCTTTGAGCTTCTCCTGCTACACAGGTTTTTTCATCGGAAGTATTACCGATTGAGGTCATCGATA